ACACACACAAACACAAACACACACACACACACACACACACACACACACACACACACACACACACACACACACACCGTGCGGTCTACCACCGTGCTCCGTCGATGGTCTCACCTCTGCCGCTTGCATCTCACCAGGAGCGTTTGGTCTTCCGAAGACGAGTACGTCGCAGACTTCCTGTCGTCGTCATTGACGCCACCTCTGCCGCCACGACCAACGGACCGACCACGAACAACACCTCTGCTGTGTCCTCTCCCCCTCCCACCGGTCTTCCCCAAAGGCCAAATAGGAATGTCGTCGTCATCGTCCCTTGCTTCCACGTCCTCCCTGAATCCTTTGTCGGCATCATCACCGCCACCGCCATCGTCGTCGCCGCCATCGCTGTGTGCCCGCATGTTTGACACTCCTCGTGTGATGTTCTCCACAGTGGGTCCTGGAAGCACCGGTGGTATGCGGGCGCCCTCGTCCCTCAGGTCGGGTTGGGTAGGCGTTGTGCGGTTGGGCATCGAAGGACGTGCACCGCCGATGAGCAGGGACCCGACTGGTACTCCAGTGCGTGCTGGGCAGGTACTTGTCAATCGATCGGCGGACGGTGTAGTCGATCCATGCTGCCGGGCTGCTGGCGATGGCCCGACACCGCCAGTAATGAACGCACCGCCACAAAGTGTGGACTGGTCCATATGCTCACTTCCAGCATGTTGAAGGCCACGTGGTGAAGGATCAACGTTGATGATGAACGTACGGCTTGCCTCCCAAGCGCTTCCAGAACACAACCCGAACCTGAGATCAAGTCCTCCGTCGTCGTCGTCTCCCAAGCCTTGGTGCAGGAGTGAGGTGAACTCGCCGCCTTCGTTGCTAGCCGACCCGCCTGCTCGCACCGTCTGCGAGAACAGCTGCATCGCCCCGCTGGCGAGAGGCAACGTTGAAAGTTCTTCCGTCTCCGACTCCTCGTCTGAGGGGGGCAGTGGCATCTCCCACGACTCTAAATGGGTGTACATGGACGGGTCGTACCACCGTGGAAGCTCCGCCGTCGCAGGTCGTCTTCCGCCTAGACCTGCAGCCAGAACTGCGCGTGCCTGCATGCCCGCCATCGGACGTTCCCCTGCCTGCCGTTTTATTGATGCCCTCCGCTTGCGATGTTGCTTCCACGGCTGGCACGACAAACACACGTGGAGGAAGACGACAAACAGGAAGACTATTACAACGAGCACCAGCAGAGGCAATCTCCTCTGCATGTTTGCCATCAATTGAATCGCATGCAGGCACCCTTCCACGCGACCACTGCAGAAGTATGTTCTGGTATGCCGGTGGATAGGGCCGCTGGACCTTCATATGCCGACAACCACCAGAGAAGACGACAAAGGTGCCTGCCTGCGATTCAAAAATCAATCGTTGCCGCCCGCGCACTGCCGGAAGCGCCTCCGTATGTCGTCCCGCGCACGTTGTCGTCCTCCTCCGCTACCCGCAACCGAGCCAACGGTCCACTACGGACGCCCGCCCGCCCACGCTCGCCCCCCCGCGCTCCACCCCGTCGGCCAACGGCTACCGTTGGTGGCTGTTGCCGGCGTCCACCCGCAGAAAACCTCCGATCTTCGACCACCCACCCGACGGACCGCTCCTGGACCAGCAACCCCAAGTCGACGGGGCCATGCGCGCGATGCAACGTATCCGAAATTTTTCAGTAGGTCGGGGGCTACTGGAAAATTTAGGACGACTCTGCCTGGGGAATCCTAAATCCTTTAGGACTCGTCCTAATGCCGTTTTCACATTTTCGATCTCGAAATTGGATTTAGGATTGCGTGCAAAGAAAATGCAATCCTAAAAACAGGCACTTTTAGGAGTGTCTAACGAGACCCTTACTCTAGATAGTCCCGCTCATGAAGCGTTCTTGTCACGCTCTTGTCACGCTCTTGTGGATCCTGGAGTGCAGTGCAGACTCGTTTGTCTATCAAGACCCAGGCTCCCTCTAGAAATCCCGCACCCTTTCAACCATCAGACCACCTTTGCAAAAACCTTGGTTGCAGGCAGGCGTCCAAGAGCGCTCAAGAAGTCTTCGGCCGAAGGTGCCCTGGCAGCTCGTGGAAAGCATTTTCACAAGAGACAAGGCAAGAGTAGTGCAGCAGCGACAGCTCTTGACTGATGCAAGAGTAGTGCAGTGTTTTCGCGATGAGCAGCTCCTGAAAAAGCACATTTCCTGTTAGAAACGTCCGAATGCACCTGGTCCTGTTAGACTTGTCCGAATGCACCTGGTCCACAAACCCTCCAAAAATGGCAAATGCATATGTAGAGTGCTGTGTTGTGTCGTGTTGTGGAGCGAGCCCCTCAGAGTCATGTCATTTCATTCACTCATCTGGTTTTTCAACAGGAAGATTCAAACACAGATGTGCTTACTACCAGTTCAGGGTTGCACCATTCAGCCACACGTGCTAAATGGGTGAGGACCGTGAGGGCGGCTACAGAGTAGCATTGGCGACGAGACTTTCCAAAACGGGCGCCGAGTCAGAGACTCAGAGACACCCCCCCTTTTCCCCCTCCTTTCCCTTTTTCTTTGGGCGTAGCTCCACTACAGACAACTCTCTACGTGCATTTGCTTGCTTTCTGATCCCGGTGCATTCGGACGAGTCCAACATTATGATGAATGAATGTAGAGGGTCCCAAACGCGTCCGAACAAAATGCATGAAGAGCGTTGCGTAGTGAAGAGAGCGAGGCACTTTGTTTCTTCCCTCGCCTGTTCTCGCCGTCCGCTGGTTCTTCCAGGTATCTGCTCTCATGCAGCGCCCCCCCCGGCCTGCTACCGGTTGCAGGAAGTAGGTACTCACCCCTATACCCGGCGGACCACTGCGTCGCCCGTCTTTCCTGGGCTGCACCGACTCTTCTATGCCGCCATTGTCATCAGAAGACTTGGGGTGTCGCTCCGCTGCTATCCACGTGCACCAACCTATACAGGTTTGGTTGGTGTTCCCACCCCCCCGCTTGACCAGCCCTATAAGTAATACAGTGGGCTGTTCGTGAACAAAGGCAGTGAGTTGCGCAGTCCGGGTGCCCGACAAGTTGACAACCCCTCCCATGCTCTCCGCTTGCTTCTTCCTCTCGCTCCCTCTCCGAGCTGCGCCACAGGTTGCGCTTCGTGCCAGTAAACTGAATCGTAAGCACTGCAGGCCACTCACTACATGTATGAATGATGCCGTCGGTGTAACGAAGCGACGTCGATTTATAGGAGCGTGCTCCGTGCATAGGAGGGCGAGCTAATCGCAGTGCACGGTGACCATCCCAATCCCCTTGCACTGACGTCGTTCCTTGCTCCCTGTTTGCGCGACGGCTACCGCAAGCTGAGAAGATACGAGCCCTGGCGTAGATCGCGGCTTCAGCTCGGCCCGTAGCAGTGCTGCTGCTGCTGGTTGGCGAGTCCTGCTATTTATTTGTCTGGTTGATTGCCGCCCGTAGCGGAGAGCTGCCGGTGGTTGGCGAGTCGTGTGCTATTTATTAGTATCTTTTTGTTTGGTTGATTGACAAGAAAAAAAGAGAGCGGGTAGGTATGGGTTTGGGAGACGCTAACGGCGTGCAGGTGCGGGGCTGCAAGTACGACCACCATGGGTTGGCGTTCGCTACGCGCGCTCTCCATTTCCAGGACGAGAACGATCCGTACGGTGCGAAGAACGCCCCCATTTACCTGACGGCCACTTTCAAGCTTCCCTCCGTGACGAAGGCTGGCTCGTTTCTGTATTCCCGGTTCGACAACCCGACGAGATCGACGCTGGAGAAGCACATTGCTCGGCTTCACGACGCGGACCGCGCGTTTTGCTTCTCGACGGGAATGGCGGCTCTGACGACGGTGATGCAGATGGTGGAGGTCGGCGACGAGATCGTGGCGGATGACGACATCTACGGCGGGACCGACAGGCTGCTGACCAGCCTCGTCACCCGGTGGGGCGTGACGGTGAAGCGCGCCAACACCAGCAATCTGGACGAGATCCGCGCGGCCGTGACGCCGAAGACGAAGCTCGTGTTCCTGGAGATCGCGACGAACCCTCTGCTGCAGATCACGGACATCGCCGCCATCGCCGAGATTGCGCACAGGAGCGGCGCGCTGGTCGTGGTGGACAACAGCATCATGTCGTCGGCGCTCTCGAGGCCGCTGGATCACGGCGCGGACATCGTGATGGAGTCGCTGACGAAGTTCATGTCCGGGCACAGCGACGTGATGGGGGGCTTCCTGGCGGTCAGGGGCGAGCAGCTCGCCAAGGACATCCACTTCCTCCAGTCCGCGGAGGGCGCGTGTCTGAGCCCGTTCGACAGCTTCCTGGTCCTGAGGGGCATGCAGACATTGTCTTTGCGAGTGGAGAAGGCTCAGGAGAACGCGCAGGTCATCGCGGAGTGGCTGGCGAAGCACCCGCTGGTGAAGAAGGTGCTCTACCTGGGGCTGCCCGGCTTCCCCGACCGGGAGCTGCACTTCAAGCAGTGCTCCGGCGCGGGATCGGTGCTGTGCTTCGTCACGGGAGACGTGGAGCTGTCCAAGCTGGTGGCGGACGGCGTCGAGGTGTTCCAGAAGACGGTGAGCTTCGGCAGCGTGGGGTCGCTGATCAGCCTGCCGTGCTTCATGTCGCACGCTGCGGTTCCCAAGGCCATCCGCGAGTCCCGGGGCCTTCCGGACGATCTGGTTCGGCTGGGTGTGGGAATAGAGTGTGTGGGCGATCTGATCAACGACTTGGATCACGCGTTCAAGAAGGCCATGGCGAAGCTTGGAGGGAAGGCGCAACCCAAGTTCGAGCCCATCCCCTCGGGCACGTTCGTCTACAAGCCCCGATTCCAGTAGATCGTCCTCATCCCCCCGCGGCTGAGAGGTTAGAAAGCGCTATGATTACGGATGGAAGGGTTTTCCCGCGGCGCGGGGGCCGCCTGCTCCGTCGTCAAATCGTTGGCAGCTTCGGAGAATGGATTCACGCGCCACGTGTCAGCTTACGGCGTAACTTAGCGGCCCCTCTTTTCTCTTCGACGGGCGGAAGGAGTTCAGAGGAGGTGTGGTGYGGTGCCGAACGCTTTCTTTTTTYTTTTTTTTTTYYCCCTCCTACTTCAAATGTTTGTCAGAGCGACAGCTGGAAGGCCTGCCTTGTCGTCAAGATAAATTTCCTTCACGGCGAGCAGGACATAGGTCTGGTGGCTTTGGAGTGCGAGCAAACTGTCTGCGGGTTTTTCTTCGCTCCCGCCTGCCGTTTTTCAGTAGCGGCCCTACTCGGTGATAGAAGGTAGAAAGCTTTAGCTGTGCTTAGCGAGGGAAAGCATTGATTACGTTTGTTTTTGGATCAGTGAGATGTGTGAGATAGCCTGCGAAGCGAGGCAGTCCCTTTACGTTCCCGCTTTGCTTCTCGCCGTATTCAAGTTGAGTTGGCTTTGGCCTGCGCGCTCGTAACGAGTTCTGATTAGATAGGTGTTTCTTTCATGATGGTGCAACCGCACAAGGGTTGTACTACCAATTTATCGACGTAGCTTAGCAGCTACTACCTCATATCCCCCCCAACAGAACTCCTTATCATGATGGATGTGTGCATGCTCCTGCTCCATCCCACCAAGGGTAAACACAGTCGTGATAACATGTCGGGGAGTAACTGTTATGATCGGGGTTCCGCGGGAACAATAAAAGTCAGGTAGGGTGTCCACAGGGGTGTCCACAGGGGAGTATCGCAGAATAGGTGGTGTTAAGGGGCATGGGGGAAGAAGTTGGAAAACCCCGCGTGAAACAGGACGGGTTTTCCCGAATAAGAAGATCGTCATGATGAGACCGGAGGAGGAACGAGGCAGGGGGCTCCTACCGACGATCGACTTCTGCGGAAGCTAATGATGTGCTTCAGACATTTTCTGGACTTCCATCATGTCCTCTCCAGAAACCAAGAAATGTATCGAACATGTTTTTTTCAGTTTGCCTGTCATTTGAGATTTCTCCACGCTTTGCTGTCCCCGAGATCGCGTAGCATTTTTCTCCTTCACAAGTGATATGCATATTGCTCTTTCCGACAACTTGAAGTTAGCCTTCCGGACGATCTGGTTCGGCTGGGTGTGGGAATAGAGTGCGTGGGCGATCTGATCAACGACTTGGAGCACGCGTTCAAGAAGGCCATGGCGAAGCTTGGAGGGCAGGCGCAACCCAAGTTCGAGCCCATCCCCTCGGGCACGTTCGTCTACAAGCCCCGATTCCAGTAGATCGTGCTCATCCCCCCGCGGCTGAGAGGTTAGAAAGCGCTATGATTACGGATGGAAAGGTTTTCCCGCGGCACGGGGGCCGCCTGCTCCGTCAAATCGTCGGCAGCTTCGGAGAATGGATTCACGCGCCACGTGTCAGCTTACGGCGTAACTTAGCGGCCCCTCTTTTCTCTTTGACGGGCGGAAGGAGTTCAGAGGAGCTGCGGTGTGGTGCCGAACGCTTTTTTTTTTTTTTTTTTTTTTTCCTCCTACTTCAAATGTTTGTAAGAGCGACAGCTGTAAGGCCTGCCTTGTCGTTAAGGCTGGCCGTGGTAAATTTCCTTCACGGCGATCAGGACATAGGTCTGGTGGCTGTGGCTTTGGCTTTGGAGCGTACGTTTCCTCTCCCTCCCGGGCGAGTGGCCTCGCGCTAGAGTGCGAGCRAACTGTCTGCGGGTTTTTGTTTCGCTCCCGCCTCCCGTTTTTCAGTAGCGGCCCTGCTCAGTGATAGAAGGTAGAAAGCTTTAGCTGTGCACACTGCCTAGTGAGGGAAACCATTGATTAAAGGTAGAAAGCTTAAGCTGTGCATAGCGAGGGAAACCATTGATTAAAGGTAGAAAGCTTTAGCTGTGTAGAAAGCTTCAGCTGTGCATAGCGAGGGAAACCATAGATTACAGGTAGAAAGCTTTAGCTGTGCATAGCGAGGGAAACCATTGATTACGCTTCGTTTGGATCAGTGAGATGTGTGAGATAGCCTGCGAAGCGAAGCAGTCCCTTTACGTTCCCGCTTTTTTTCTCGCCGTATTCAAGCTGAGTTGACTTTGGCTTGCGCGCTCGTAACGAGTTCTGATTAGATAGGTGTTTCTTTCATGATGGTGCAAAAATAAGTCTCAGTCACGATTTGGCGATTGTTGTGTCAAACCGAGGAAAATCTTGAATGCATACGCGCCTTGCCTTGTATTCCAGGGATATGCCTGGACTGGATTTAAATTTGAAAACTAACAAGGGTAACTGTTGCCGCTTTGCTCGCTAGGAAAAAGAGGAAAATCCAAAAATTTGAGAACGTTGGCGGGGTTTCTTCCCCTTTTTTTTTTCGGGGGGGGGGGGGGGGGGGTCTATGGGGAGTTGAGGCTCACATGTGCATTGTTGTTGATGCAGTCGTTGTAATGCTGCTTGAATTTTTTTATTTTTATTTTTTCAATAAAAAGCTATGTTCTTCTCTCAATTTCACCTCACACTACCTACCTACCACTACTCGTACTTGTAGGCATCTTAGCCAGCCAGAACCGTGTTCACGAGAGAACTTGCGGGGGCTGCTCCCGACCTGCAGGTGGGCGATACCATCTAGGGGTCAGCCTGTAGCATCAGCCCATGCCAACAGGACCAATCCCTGTATCACCCCTCAGGTCCGCTCCCCTACGAACATCAGCAGAATCTGCTCAATGCCAGGTCCCCTCCCCTACGAACATCAGCAGACTCTGCTCAATGCCGGTCGGGGGATCCAGTGGCTTTTTTACGATAAGGTTCAGCATGACAAATGAGACAACAACATACACGTTTCAGAGAAGAATTGCCAAGCGAACATCCATGGACTAGAACAAGGAGTAGGAAATAGACTAGGGAATGAGAGCACACGATGACATTCGTTTCTCCCGAACGCGACCCGACAGGTCAATATAAAATTTACAAATAACCCGGCCTGCTGTAGCCATCACCTGCAAAAAATAGTTCGTCAACATCCTGAAAGAACTGCCAGCTGATGATGGCGCTACTCTACGCCACGTTTCGACCGGTCGCCAGCCGGTCTTCATCAGGGGTCATATCACGTCATCGTTGAGGAGGACGAAACTTTTTCATGGTATCTATTTGTAGCTCCATAGACCGCGGAATAGACCAGCCCAGAGGCGTCTACAAGATACCAGACGAAAAAAGAGACCTAGATTAGACCAAGGCGTCAGAAGGGAACAGAAAAGAACAAGTGTCAGGAAGTAGACCAGATTCAGGCCCATGTGGTGCAAGAGAGGATCCGTCGAACAGAAGAGAACAAAGGGACAAAGCGAACTCGAAATCAGGGCCTTCCTCAAAACAAGACACTAATTCTATACTACAAGTACAGGGTTCTAAGCCCGGAATAGTCAGCAACATCTCATACGTAACTCGGCCACCAGAAACCAGAAAAGGACCAAAGGGGACAGGGAGAACCGAGTTACCCATGTTTTGCAAGAAGAAAGAAGAAAAAGAAAAAAGAAAAAAGAAAGAAATAACTCCGCCGGTGACCGCTGCAGAGTTTCGAATTCGCAGGAATAAGGGCCTCGCCACACCAATGTCCAAATTCGAGTTTTCGACATTTTTTCTTCGCCACACAGACTGTCGAAGAAAAAATGTCGAAAATTTTTCGACAACGGTCAGAAAGGTGGTTTCGACATGGGTGTCGAACCGCCCGCCTGCAGCGCGACATCACGGAGACGAGCTGTTGAAGGATGTGCTGATTTCGACATCTATGCCTCAAGATCCCGTGTCTTCTTCTTTCTTTTTTTTGCTTTTTTATTCTTCTTTTTTTTTGTTTTTTTCCCTTGTCTAGAAACGAAACTGCGGTGTGTCGAAACGGTGAATGTCGAAAGTGGTCTGACAGTTGTCGAAAATTTCACCGTTTCGACATTGGTGTGGCGAGGCCCTAACAGTCCACTCCAAGCTTGGGCGAAGACAAATTCGAAACTGCAAGGAAAACAGTGAAGTATGCGTTCGAAGGCCTACCGGTTAAATAATTCGCAAAAACGGGAGTGAATATTCGCTAGAACATGGAAAGATGCGGCGCCATGATTTTTGTCTTTTGTGCAACGGGGATGCACGGGCCCAACGAGATACACGGGCTGACAACAACGCAGAGGCCCTAGGGGACACACGTGCTGACAACAACACAGTTTTTTTTCTTTTTTTTTTCTCTTTTGTTTTTCCTTCTCAGATTTCCCTACCTATGCGTGTCATCCTTGGGGCCTCGTGGCGGTGCATCCTTCCATGGAAAGATACAGCCTCTCTCGCTCCATTACTCTCGAAATGTGCAAAACGAGAGTGAATCTTCTACTAGAACATGGAAAGATACAGCGCCATGATTTTTGTCTTTTGTGCATGTCTTTTTTTTGTTTTTTGCTTTTTGTTTTTTAAACACTGCCGCGTGGCTGGCCACTGCCGCGATGCCTCGGCCACGTCCGAGGTAAAAAAAAGAAAGAGAGAGCATCCCGTCGCATGGCTGGGCC